ATACGATACGTTTAAGAAAATTTAGGACCAAAATTGGTCCAGAGGGAGTACTAAGTTGCAGAAGCATTGTTTCTTTTAAGCTTTAGTAAGTCAGGTGAGGGCTTCACTGTAAGGTTGCAAAGAAATTATGTTCCTTTTCATACCCTACCATTGTCAGGGGTACAGTGAAGATTTCACCGTGTTGGTAAGCACTGTGTCAGGATACCAAAGTGCACTGACCAGATGTTGAATGCTTTATGGAAAGCTTTGACTCAGCTTTTCCCATCCACATTCATGCACATCCTACATCCAAAATTTGAGTCTGGTCTAAATACGTGGCTAGATTTGTGGACAAGCGCTTCCCCAGTCCATCCTCGAATTGTGCTGCAAGCAGCACAAAAAGATATCAAGAGCAGGCGAAGGAGAAGTCTAACAGCGCTCGGAGAGATCTCAGTCGCACAGAAACGGGCTGTGATTTGGAATGTTGATTATCCGCACTTGTGCTTCCACACTGAATAGAGAACTCATCATTTAAAAGATTACCTTGTAGATGGTGATAAGAGCACATTTTCTTCCTCTGCAGACAACATTTGTGCCGTGGTGACCATTATGGCTGGTGCTTTTATCAGTGATTTAAAAAGGAGCTGTCAAAAACTTGAAAAAGCTTCTAATAAAATAATGTGGATTTATCTATTTAAGACCTATAAAATTTATCAAGGAGCCCAGTTTTGGCCTCCATTTCTAATAAGAGCGTGCAGCTCCCCAGCTGCTCTAATAAGGCAGTCAGCTCCCCAGCCTTCTAGGAAGTCAGGCATTTGGTTAGTAGCCCAGATTTCAGAATCCCTAGAGAGCTCTCTGGAGAGCAGAGCTTATGGATGTTTGGAAACCAGCCCTTTCATGTCGTTTATGGGGACAGCAGTATTACTTGGTTGCAATGAGGTGTCTTGGAGCAGCTTAGCACTAGGAACACAAGACCCCTGCTTCTATTGCCCGGCAGCACGCACATGTGTGGATTTGGTTGTGGTGTTTGCAAATGTGGCTGAATATTAAAAATTGAAATGCGGTAGTTACACTGTATCACCTTTCAGTTTATTGGTACTGAAGTTGTTATATAGTGTTGGGAGTTTAAATGCTCTGCTTTTGTTGTCTCTTTTAATATAATTTCAGTGGGTGACACCAAAACTTTCTTTTATCCAGCTGGGTATTTCAACTGATGTATTGATTCCTGCTATGAAAGCAGCGCTAGCTGATACTGGCTGGAAGCAGTAGCTTTGAAGCTTGAGAGGGGGAGAACCCCAGGACGTCCATGTTACTGCCTACCTGGTAGCCAGAATAAGAGCTAATAGAATAGTTTGGACATCTTCTCCTTATTTCTATTGCCCTTTTTTTTTTTTTTCCTTCCCTCTAGCACTTCTTTTTGGAAAACTTCTCCTCCTTTCCCTTGGTTGTAATCACACTGCTGTGTATTACAAAATTGTCAGTCGTAACAAGTTGCAAATGGTTGGCCCTGCTCAGTACCCAAACAGAGATGTAATTGCAGCTGAAGTGCTTTTGCAGGCCAAAAGGGCAGATCCTACTCACCGAGTTTATTTTGAGTTAGTACCCGACCACAATCTTAGGTGTCATAATGTGTCACGGAAAGTTAGCATCTTCTGAGCAAAGTTGAAGTACTTTACTCTTTTGAGAATTGTTGTAGTAATGCAGATGATTTGGCCAAACTTTAGAGTGGGTAATTGCATGCTTGCTACTCAGGATTCCCGCAGGAATTTCATTCAGATGTAGGATCATTGGCTTTTTGCTCCAATGAAAAAGCAAACAGTTATGAGAGCATCTTCATGCTGACGGTAGCAGGTGTGGAAGCACTCGATGTGCCTTGCAGCACTTCACTGGTTAATGCAGAGAAGTTGATCTCTGAAAATGTCCTTAAGGCAATCAGGAGAATTCTGCTCCTAGGTAAAAACAAAACATGCGGAAAAGAGCATAACCTGAAAAACAAAGATACGGCAGAAAAGAAGAAAAGAAAAAATTAGACTGTACCAGTCTGTGTACTAGCCAAGGGTGAATTGTGAATCCTGCACTTCTGGAGGGTCTAGACAGATCAAAATACTGGGATCAAAATATCAGAAAGCAAGACCCAGGGTAATCATTTGATAAGGAAACAATCTCTCGGAGTGATAATCTTCAGTCCAGAGTAATCTTTGAAATCAGCCACGCTCTTGGCCACTTGACCACTACCAAATAACTGAGACTTGGAGAAAAGGGTGAGGCAGAAGGATGACGGTCACCAAGTCAAGCAGGTAAAGCACATAGAGATGAACGTGCTGTGTCAGTCGGTGTGAGCTGGGGCATAAAGGAAAAAAATGCCAAGAAAGCAGTCAGTCACTCATCCTAAGTCTCACCAGATTAGGTGTTTTAGATGGGGGGAAACAATGACAGCAGCGCTAGCTCAGGTAGTTGTTTCATAGGAAAGGAGACAGTATTCGAGCAAGAGATTAACGGGGTTTTAAATTGAACACAAATGGGATGTCTGTTACGTTTCAGCTGAATGCTCATGAACGTACTGTTGTGCTTCCAGAGACGCCTCAATTTATTCCAAAAGAATAAACATTAAAAGTAAAACTTCAGGTCATTAAAAGCGTGAGTTATCCCCGTGAAAGGAAGAAGTGCATTAACGGCTAAGTAGGAAAGCGAAAATGTGAAAGAATACAGGCAGAAGAGTATCTGTTATTAGGTTCTTTATGTATCAAAACTCTTTGCTCATGATATAAAAGAGTGCTTATACTCGTGGAGCATATATCAGAACCGTCAAGGGAGAAACTGAGAACATCTTCAAAGGTAAAGAAGTTCTC